GACTTTCTAACATTTCCAGAGTTTATTCGAGATGGGACCATTATGACAACGACGCGACGGTATATGTTGAATAATTATCATCAATTATATATGAGCACTTTAATACATGATCTTTGAATCCAAATATAATTTTCTTTTAAACAAATAAGTCACATACTCTCGGTTAGCTGATAATTGACAAAGTCGTGTTTTAGCACTTCATTACAAAGTCAATAAACTAAAATGGCTTACAAGACATTCGATACATACAACGAAAAATAGTATCAATTCTGATTATCGATGATCATAATATTATGAAGATGCATCGAACATCAGAGCAATAATTCGTGAATAGCTCGTGTATTAAATCAAACGAGAATTTATGTTCTTGATCGAAAATAAACGAATATTAATTTATGAAAAAATCAATTTTTGGTTGAAAGGGAGGAAAAAAGTTTTTCTTTTTTTTCCAAATAACGAATAATAGAAGGATTATATTCTTTCGTAACGACGCACGGCGATTAGCCATAGATTCTATGGCATAAGTATGCGATGACTCAAGCGTAATCTACCTCGTCTTGACGTTCGTATGGGCTTGTAATCACCACAAAGGGGTCACTTTGTGAAAAAGTAAATACTGTATAAATGAACGAAAATCATGATAGTAATAGTTAAAAAAAAAAAACAAGGAACTTGGACTGGCATTGAGGAAACTAAAAAGGGCTTACGTATTACGGTAATGGTTTGCTGACTTAGACATTAGAACATAGAGTAGTAGAGTAGACGGGTAACACTTCATAACTTGGTATTAAGGTGTAGAATAGAGTGTCCTGTTCCATGTTGGTTTGTCCATTTGGTAGTTCTATTTTTGGTGTCAATTAAGTTGTGCCTTTCTTCATTCTATGTTCCTTGCTTGGTACAGACATCTAACAATAGTTCAATCATAATTATGTAAAATTTGCATTGCACAAGTTTTTTATCTTATTAATTGTTATCATTTTTTTGCCTAACACTAATGGAGCAGAGAAGGTATGAATCAAAAGAGGAAAGCAATACCTGGAGAAAGTGGAATGACTCAGACTATGATATAGATATTCAAAAAGACTCTCCAACAGTTGGAAGAAGGCTCAAAATAAACAGTTATTTCGAAGGACACTGCAGCAAAATGGTGTTTCAAATGATGTCCATATGATTTTGACTCCATATACCATATGATGACTGTTGAAATGAGACTAAGGGAGAAAGGTCTAGTAGAAATTATTTCGCTTAAATATAAATATAAAGAGAAAATTTTCTTTTATACAAATCTGTCCTAGCAAAATTTTTGTGCCGTTTTGGTGTTTAATGCGTTTCTAAATAATTTGTATGCTTGCTTTATCAGAAAGTGATATTCTTTCCAATACCCATCATCCGCATTTTCTTTATGAGCTTAGTAAGCATTAGTGTGTTTATTAGTAGACTTACATCGTAACAGAACACTTCTTAATCATAAATAAATGTCTTTCAGCCTTGTTTGTTGGTCATTAGGAGTCTTACATGCCATGTATTGACAATGCCGAGTAAGGTTGCCCTTAAAATTTAACTCTTCAAATTAGTGCACTTAGCATTGGTTTGAAATATTCACAGTACCAAATCGATTTTGTATGCACATTTCTATATTGTTGTTTCTTTGGTTTCGAATCCCATACGGATCGATAATTTGTTCTCACCAGGCGCTAATTCTTGATGCCAAAACTCCAACAAATTGCCACTATGAACAATATTAATATGTAGTAGTAGGATTGCATGTTTTAATTATTAAGTTCGAACGTCATCTGTCTACTTAGTTATTTTAATCATTGTCATCAATTAGAATCTCCGTGAGTAAGTATGACAGATTTCTCATCTAGAGTATGTCTTCAATAGTCAATTGCAAACCTTTTACTTATAGTGCGTTACATCAACAGGGGAAAATACGCAAGGACTGTACATCACCAGTGTATCCGTTCAACTTGCACACCTGAAATGTACATCGTGTGTGTGCACAAATAAGCGTACATTCCTGAATGTATGTTAAGGGATGAAACCTATAGATAAACACTATTATATAATATAAAAATTTAAACTATAACCAAATAGCACGTCATGATTAAACCGACTTTATGCCATCATTCGTTATTTAAAGAATGGTTGTGTTACTCGGCATTGTTTTCTTTTAACCCAATCCGTTTAAGGAATATTCAATAATAAATTTTTTTAGTGGCATTACTATAATTACCTCATTTATAGTTCAGAGAATCTTTGTACGGTTTATGAAAACATTAAACTTTAATTTACGATCTAACGTAGTCTTTTCGTTGTAACTTTGTTATATATTAGTGAACAAATTTCTAAAGTATGGGAAACTAAAGCAATATAAACAATATTGAAATAATATGTTAATATGTGGGTATTACATTATATATTTTCTATAAACCTAAATCGGGTAAAGTTATCATCGAGTCATGCAATGGTGTGAATTTTTGTAATAAGAACAAACTTGTTTGGAGGAGTAATTACAATTCACGTAATAGTAATGGAATAGTAAATCAAATAATTTGAAAATATAGCGGTGCAGTTTTTTGCTTTATATGTATAACTCGATTCTTTTGAATATGCATATGCGCATGCTCTAGCCATTTATTTATTGGAGCTCGGGCATCTCAATGCATGCAATAAATTTTTCGCAATCGCATTTATCATACGATGAATATCGCCAAAGATTAAATTACGAGTGATGAACTCAAGATTACAAAAGTTTTTGCATAACGATTGGTGTTTGAATGTCTGAAAGTTTTCATTATTTACTCGGGAAAATAGACATTGGTTATCAGTTTTAAGCAAAGTAATTGTTAACCATGTAAACTCTTCTTATACTGATAAGTAACCAATTTTTACATTCCTGATGAAAGTTTTTTACAATAACTTTATAAACGCGGCAAGCGCATACGTGCAATATACTTTTTTTGGTTAAATTGCGTTTGTGCGCCCGCCAAGTAGAGACAACAATATATTGCACCACCCCACAGCTCAAGGTTTACGCTCAACTATATTACCTGACGTAGAGTGTTATTAGAACAGTCGATTACGCATGATATTGGCGCTAGCATACTATTGCAAAGTCCACTGTATTTCTATTGTGTCCTAAAATTTCTCACGGAAGTCTTTGCATTGTGTTGCTTGCTAGTTAGCTAGTTATTACTTTACTCTTGACTATTACTGAGTTATCGAAATCCTTCATTAACAGAAATTTATTCCGATTCGTCGTACGGTCCACAAGGACGACACTATTTGATAAAAAATTCAGATAAAGTTTTGATAGCTTGCATGGATAATATTTGAGCCTTGTACGACGTGTTGAAATAATGTCGCCCAGGGACAAACATAATTTTGGTTACATTACATGTAGATCATAAAACAATCGTCATAAATAGAATTTGGTATATAAAAATTTCGAGATTTTATTGGCTAACAAATCTACCAACGTCGTAGATCCGCTTAAAATGGTTACTGTCAACGATCAAATATGGCAAATATAGAATTCTGGATTCTGGGATGATCTATAACAATAATAAGAAATTATCACATGTCGTACAGGCTGGATCCATTCAGCGGTCTCCTGGTTCTATTCATAATAGACATGTTAGAACTGTACCATGTTTCGGATTGCAAAAACATGCAAGTATGCACTTTCGATGGTAATTGTTTGACAGCTTATGTGTTTTATTATTGTTAGGCACACTGAACTCAGCTCAAAATCGTGGCGTGATAAATAACTGAAGTAACGGAAATGTCATATTAAATTTCTGCGATACGAATATGGAATCGAGTTGGCCGACGTATAACTCTCATTGGCTGTAAAAAAGTATGCGTGGGTCAAATTCTGCAACTTATTGTACAGTACATAGTTATAGTGATATTCTGTTACGAGATTACATATGCTGTTTATTTTTCCATCTAGTTGGGGAAGAAGGTTCACCGTCTAACACTATTACATCTTTTGCTGTTGAGACTTAATAATCACTGCGATTCCGGCAGCAACAAATTTTTACCAGGTTATGATTGTTAAACTGCTATCTGAACAGACATGTAAAGATCCCTGAACAAAGGCCCCGTGTTTTGTAACACACAGAGATTGACCGATATAACAGTAATAAGCATAAAACAGATGAACTATTTTTTTATAGAATAGAATTTAGTTTGCTCATAATGTAATAGGGGCATTGCTATTTGTTTTGTAACACCAAATGATATGGTTGATAACTGATACGCTAATTGTTAAGCCCCTCCTTAACAGTGATGATAACAATAGCAATCATTGCTATTAACAGCAAACTTTAAATATATGAATATTCCTTCCCAAGTGTCAACATCACACAGCAAATTCGAGCTCCACTTATCGCTTACGAGAAATTAAATGAGAAAGGAGTGTAACTATAACTTTATAAATATTAAAATAAAAAAATAAAGTTTGAACCGACATGCATTCTATTGTCAAACTAAGAAAACTCGTTATAATTGGATAAAGTGAATAACAAGTTTACTTCTTGCTTGTTGTCCAATAAGTTATACTTAATCTATCATGATTATTGTTTCTTGGTTGCAGACATGCCGTACAATTGACACCAAGAAACAAAGCAAATTCTGAGCTAGTTAAAATTTTCTCACAATCCATAATTTCCTTACCACAACAATAATTACATGAATATACCAAACTTTTCTTTAATAAACAAAAACGTATTGTCAAATGTCAAACGTGAAAAAAAAAAGGTGAAGCAAAAATGGAAAATATTAGAACATTAATGATAAAAAAAAACTTATTGTCTTTGATATTAAAATCGAAAAGAAAAGAAAATACAAAGTAGAAGTGTACACATGATTTACCGCCGCTCGCAGTAGCTAAATAGAATGGACGAATGGATAATATTATAATGTAGGGAATTACGGTGCACTTTTCTTAACGAATAAATAATACTAATATCTCACGTAGTGCACGTTCGTATTCAACGAGACGTACGTCCTGCGGACAAATTTCCCCTATTCCGAAAGCTTATATTCAAGTTTCTCCATGCCGCCCATTCTTTTAACCCATTATTATGACAAGGGCATACTTCTACCTTATTTAATCTAGGAAAATCTGCTCGCACTAACGGCGATGCCACGTTATCATTAAGATCGCAACCTTTGAATGTTAGTTGCTCTAAATTATAACATGCTGCTATACCATCCAACGACTTTGTAGCTGTAAAATTTACATCGTAAAAGCCCATCTCTGTTATAGACTCTGCCTGTGTTTGTATTGCATCTAAAACATATTCCACATTAGCTCCATAATGTTTAAAGGTCCAAAACTGTATTCGTCTCAGAGATTTTTGAGCCTTAACGAGTTCGGCCAAACCGAGCATTTCCGATTTACCGTCGTCCTCGGGGGAACTCCAATTAGCTAGAGTCAGATGCATCGAACGTATATTACAGCATATTTTGGCTAGTGTCGATAAGAAAATAGACTTTTGATAGCAGGATGCTAGTTCGAGTTCTCTTATTGAACTGATAAGTGAGTGTGATTCTGGTTTTAAGAGTAATAAATACTCATCAGTGTCCAATTGATCTTCCCATGTAAGGACTCTTAAATAGTAGAGTTTTACGCCCTTTCGAATAAACATTTTGATAATTTCGCTTGACATTACGTAACATAAGTCTTCGTATTCTTTGCGTGCGTCTCTCATTCTGTTTCTGACCCCATTTAACGTAGTTGAATCATCGTCTCTGGTTGTAAGCCTCGTCATTCTTGCAATATACGCTTTGATTGATTTCGTAAAAGCCCAGTAATCAAGATCCCTTAGGTATAACGGGTAGTCATAGTATGGTTTATGACTAATAGGTGGGAGAGAAATGTCTTGTACTAGCGTAATTGCGTCGCGTTCCGATGAGGAAAGGGAATAAAGGAGTGTATGTATAAGAAGAGGGGATCTATGACGAAATGGCTTAAACCAAAAGACTTTGATGGCGACTGAGCACCAATGATGATTAACTAACATGCATGAATGAAGAGTAGAAAGCGCCATAAAAGAATCTTCTGCTGAGATGTAAGTGAAGACCTCACGCAAAATTAAATGGGGCATAAAGGCAGACATGATGAGAAAAGAATACAGATTTAGGTCAGTGGAAAAAGTGTAGGTTTTCTTGATGTGATTTAGAGTGACTTTTCAGCTTGATGGGAAAGTTTGAGAGGATAACACGTTAATTTATATCAATTTTTGTGTTACAACAAGCACAACATAAAATAAAAATATACACGTGATATACTTTATATACCTGACGTTTTTTTCTTGGTCACATTTGTTATTTGTAAAACGAGTGATTTCTCCAAGTTTTGCCAACAGTTATTTATTTTATGATGCATAATGATACAAAAATCGAGTGCAATCTTGCCAGACTTGAGAACGTAGCCGTGTAAAAAAAAAAGATAGAAATTAGAAAAAAGAGATGATTTAACATGACACGTGTCATGTTAGAGATAACAATAGAATATTAATATTAATGCAAATCAAAAAAAGGTGTAATAATGTTAGAGTAAGAATATATGTAATAATAGTGAGACATTGCATCAATGGGCAGACAAGGAATAAACAAGCCAATTGTTTAGCATTGGTTCTCACGTAATAATATTGTATATGTTATGTGCGTTTATTTGTAAGGCTAAAACGTTTGTGTCCAGTATGGAATGCTGATTTGTAAGTATAGCAGATATGGTTAGCACATATTCAGTATTATCAAATATTTTGACATGTGAATATTCGTTTAACACAAATAAGCTACATATTAATATGACTATCTAGTAAGGTCCGTTTTTGTATTGTCTTTCGTTAAGGTATTATATTTCTTTGCTTGCGTCGTATTATTACATCAAATTGCAAAACAGATAAAAAGTTGCATTTTTAAGTATTGACTCGGCATGTTTTACCCCTTACAAATCAAGGTGGAATAATCCAATTTACCCCGTCTACGATCTCGCATGCCATAATAGCATCAATGATGGCTTAATAAGGTAATTGTAAGAATTAGTATATAGAGTTCTCCTTTCGGCATTTAACAAAGTAATGACAGAATTATTAATAATTGGTATAGTTGATAAAAAACTGATGTAAATAGAGTATGAATAAGTTTAGATACTGCACGGCTGTTATGCTATCATTTATTTGCAAAGTGGATATAATAATCAATATTCTTTCAAAGACAAAAAAGGAGTGAGCGAAAATATTGAGTACATTGATAAACATTACAATCACAACCTTTAATTAATTTGTGTATTCATTTAAAAACAATAATGTCAAAATTGACTTAATATACCTGCATTGTAGAACAAGAGCATTCATAATAATAGTTACATTGAAAAAAGCGATCAAAACTTTTTATACGCATGTGTGTCGAATGCAATCTGTTTGTGCTGTCTAGATAAGCATTGTGCATCCTAACGTCATAGACACTGCGTAAAGAGAGCGCTAATTATTACCTGTAATTAACAATGGGTCCATACTAATACGCTAACCCCTCCAAACATGTTTCCGTAATGGTTTTGTTCAGCAGTGCTAAAAAAACTATATACATGTTATAGAACACGTATATTAACCAGTATAGCGTATATACAAAGAGGACATAAGCACATTAGTTACCGATGCCACAAAATGATTGATATGTAGTGTGTAACAAATCTTTTAATTCTCTCCTTGTGAAAATCGAATTATGGAAGACTTCATATACGTGTCAATTTCGTATGAGATAACGTTTAGAGAAACTTAACTGGAATCGAGACCAATCTAGAGCTGAACGTACAGCATGTGCCATACTCCAGACTTTATTATTAAATACCATGTAAGCGACTATGGTTCTTTATTCAGATGTCATAAAGTGCGGGTTTCTATATCGAGGTTATGAATAAGGGATATGTTGTCCCACAAACAAAAAAAAAACGCAACAATCTGACTCGGTCCGAAGATTATCAACTTGTCCTTAAATTTAATGTCCAACAGCGTACAAAAACAGTGAGAAAATGAAAGAGCTGGTTGTCCTTTCTATGATATTACACTTTATATAATGCTCTCGTATTATCGGACGGTACATTTCACAATTGTATAAGAGTCGGCAGACAGATGTGACGATAGCAGCGACTTGCATGCATGCTTTGGTTATTGATGAGTCTCTAATTGTTAGATTTAGCTATTCATTCCTTGTCCGTATTATTTATCATCCCAACAGTTTGTGTAAAATGATCAATTTATGATAGGCAAGTGTTTGAGCCACTTGCGCTTTGAATGAAAAAAAAATTTTATGTCCCAAAATGGGTAACCACAGTGTTCTTTGTTTCTTTCAACAATAATGCCTCTTCACAAATAAACTTTTTGCTCAGCCCTAGCATATGAATACATATTGTTTCGACAGCAACCATCTTTATTGTTTGTTAAGTAGGACGGTTCTCTTAAACTTGGTCTTGCATCTTATTACGAGTCAAAAGATAGTCATAGGTATCTACATGGAATGCTTGCAGATCATTATTCAGCATGACAAATGCGTAACTTCATGACTAAACTGTCTTGTTTAATACACTCATCGTTATCGTCGCCAACTCTAACGCTTTTTCGTAAAGCAAAGTCTCTTTCCCAGGCTACTATAAAGAGGATTAAATGCATGTCAAAATTTTGCCTTTACAATTTTACTATTGTACATACGTTGTTGCAGTTGCCTTGAAATGATCGTAATTCCGGTTGATCCTCCGCATAAATTCCTATAATGGAAACAATTTCTATACTTAAATTTTGAAAAACAGTATGTTACAAATTTGGCCGATCATTGACAGTTTTGGAACACACAGTGGTCAAATGATACTATGGCTATGCAAGAAGTTTCTGTGCGGAAAAATCACTGGTTTACAAAGGCAAATACTGTATTAACCATAGTCATTTAGAGATAATTGTTTGTGTAATGTTTATCTGTTCGCTTGCGTCTTCTTGTTGCAACAAAAAAAGCTTACGTTTTTTAACGCAATACTGTATTAGCACACTAAATGTCTCTGAATCTTTGGTCTGCAGAACTGATTGGTTCACTCGAGTTGCCAAGCATGCTCATCCATTTAGTCAGTCTTATTTAGTAGAAACGTTAAAGTTATCGGAGAAAATTTAGTATCGGGAAGAATGTCCATCTTCAAAAATGCAGACAACTGACAGCAACAGGACCACTAATAATAATAAGTGTTCTGACAAAAGTAATTAAAATGACAAAAGGGCGATTATTCGTAATAATATAGTCGGTTAATATAAATATTGGTTACTGTACCGCACTGGTCTAGTACCCGGGGGAATCCCGTGTGAGTTAGGAGAACTATGCTGGGGAACTGTGCCAAGGGGTGTACATTAGTATTAGGGAATCGATCTACGTTGTGTATCGTTATACTTGTTTCTGTTCTGAAGTTCTGAACTGAAACATCCCACACTCAAACAACAGGAGTATTATTATGTTATATGTGCTGAACTCGCACGGCGACTCCCTTTCCCCCACCCACGAAAAAGTTTTTAGGGGCAAAAAGTCTGTAATTACATAGTCAGTCTCGATAAGTCGGCCAAAATTTTTCGGCTGTTTTTTTCACTATTTAAAAATTTTCGATAAGTCGGCCAATGGCACCAACTATCCTTAATTGGAGGTGTCTCGATAAGTCGGTTTCACGTGGCAACTTTGTAAATGCAGTTTCTTCAATTTAATTGGTGGTCCACACCCGTACGCTGATTAATTGTCCAATAAAATTACTTACACATTGGCTACACAAACAAGAGTATCCAAAATTTACTGAACTACTTACAGCAATCGAATAATGTGAGCGTAAGCAGTTTTGTATGAAAGATTTACAACGTCAAATAAGAAGGAAACAAGTCGATTCTCTAAGACAAGCTAGTCTGCAAGATTATTTTACAATGTAATCATATTAACGTTAATAATAATAAACGATTTAATTACAGAATTAAATGTATATCATCGATCACGTGTTTTTCAATAAGTCGGCCTTCTCGATAAGTCGGCTATTTGAGGTGGGCTACTGTTGGCCGACTTATCGAGACTGACTATGTACAGATAGAGTTAAAGCGGACTTTACTGTGTATATTATATCATTCATTTCAATTGAAAACGAGTTTCGTACCAGAGAGTGGTGAGCGAAGACAAGTTAGTTATTGGATATGACTACGCGATAACGGTGAAACAACGGGACATGCGGTAAAACACATCTACTGATCGCGCTATAGATTTGTGAGTACGGATGAACGTCTTACCTAGGGCGAAGACTGCAAAAATGCAGAGATTATCTCATTTTCTACCATTTAAGAGAGCGCACAATTATAATTGTTAGATAGTTTGCTGCGCCAGAGAATAATTATACTGAGTAGTACCAATATAAAGTGTATAATACTACGCAGATGAAGGGAAGCGTCACAATTAACTATCACGATAGAAAACAAGATTCTTATGAACAACAGCTCGTCAGGAATATTAGAATAGAAGGCTCATCGCGATCTGAGAAATAGAAGGCCAAAACTTGCACAGATTTAAACAATGTAGCAAGCATGTCACAAATATAATAATAATGCCCTCAAATATACTAAAACAAATCAACCAATCAAATGACACTCATGCGAAACTAACAAAAGCCGACGAACAAACTGACGAACCGTCGATTCACCCAAATGTCTTCTAACAACGGTGCTCCCAAGATTTACAAGCTGATTCTTGATGATCCAGAGCCGCCAGAAAGAGAATCGTCGTCAAAGAAGACAAAAAAAAGTAAAAAAAGTAGAAATTTACGCAAAAGGAATAATACATCGAATGCCTGGGAGAGTGACGAAGATAGTGGTACCAAGAGGAAAAAGAAACGAGAAGAACCGCGAAAGGTAGAAGGTAAGTGCAGCGATCGGACTTTAGCGCCTTTGCTTCTGACTGTGATATGCCTGCTCACTTGATTCATTACTGTTACCACAGAATCAGAGGACGAATATGAAAAAGCGATCAAGGAGGACGAACAGGACGAAAGGGAACGAGAGGAATTTGCCAGGCGTTTGCGAGAACGAGATGACGCTAAAACCAGAAAGGTTAGAACACAAGAGGAGAATAAAAAAAAAGCTTACTCGAGTTTTTTTTTGTGTTAATAATGATTTACTTTTCCTTCAGATAGCCGAAGATCGCTCGGCAAAACCTGATAGCGAAACAGCGAGAAGAAGGAACCTGGCCGATGATCCTGACGCCAGAAAGCAAGTTCTACCGAGTATTCGTGAGAGGTCACGTCAGGAATATCTCAAGATGCGTGTTGAACAACAGATGATGTTGACGAAACAGGATGTGCTTGATGAGGAGTTACTGTTTAAGAATCAAAAGCTTTCCAAGAAGGAAAGAAAAGAGCTCGAGTTAAAGAGAGAGACGTTAAATTTGGCTGAGGAAAGGCTAAAGTTGTCCAAGAAGACGGATGAGTATATAATGCCAGAAGGTTTGATTTTTCACTTTTCATTTTTTTCGTGTTTAGGTACACGTATGTTTACTAAATTTTATTTTTATACCATTAAGATTATATTACTGAGAAAGGAAAGATTGATAAAAGAAAAAAGGAACAAGCACTGTATCAACGTTACGAAGAGAAACGTGATAATCAGTTCTTTTCCACGGAACAGGAACAATGGGAATCAAATCAAATAGCAAAATCAAGTCTGAATGTAGGAGCTCAGGATCGTCAAAAGGGCGATAATTATGAATATGTCTTTGACGAAAAGGAATTCAATTGGGACGATTGGGAACCCGAGACACGTGATGATGAGGCTGCTTTTCGTAAGAGAGTCGAGGAAGAGGAGAAAAGAGGTAAAACAAAGGATATTCAGATCTACATTTTTTTTTGTCATTCATTATTTTTTTTCGACAAGTTGTCATAACGGTCGCCTGCTGTTACTCTACTTGATAGTCCAAACAATCCAAGAAGTCCGTCAAACTCTTCCGATATATTCGTTTCGAGAAGAATTGCTTCAAGCGATTCAAGACCATCGCGTGCTGATAATAGTTGGTGAGACGGGTAGCGGTAAAACGACACAGCTTCCGCAATACCTCGTCGAAGCAGGATATACAAAAGGCGGCCGTAAGGTTGGTTGTACTCAGCCAAGAAGAGTTGCTGCGATGAGTGTAGCAGCGCGTGTTGCTGATGAGATGGGAGTACGGCTTGGACATGAGGTACGACGCGATGCTGGGTAGAGAGATGGTTTTTTGAGAGAAAGAGAATTTGACATTACGAGTGAAAAACGATTATTAATTGATTCGCATTCTTTCACAGGTGGGATATTCAATCCGTTTCGAAGATTGTTCCTCAGAGAAGACTGTGCTTAAGTATATGACAGATGGTATGCTGCTTAGAGAGTTTATGACAGATCCTCTTTTGTCAACATATAGTTGCATGATCATTGACGAAGCACACGAGAGGACATTGCATACTGATGTGTTGCTTGGATTGGTAAAGGTACGAAACCGTAACGCCGAGTTCGTCGACATGGGTGTGAGATCACGTGATTGATTGCCTTTTTTTTTTGTTTCATAAAGAGAATAATGCACGCAGAGACCGATCTAAGGCTCATAATATCTAGTGCAACATTGGATGCTCAGAAATTTGCCAAGTATTTTCGAGTGGGAGACGAAGAACCGCCGATATTTCACAGTAAGTTTTAAACGAGTCGTATTGTGTGTAAGCGATGATAAATATTCACACATTTCATTGTGGTATTCTAGTCCCTGGGCGTATGTTCGAGGTCAAGAAATACTATACAAAAAATCCAGAGGCCAATTACATACACGCTGCTATAGGGAAGGTTATGGAACTTCATATAAACCCATTAGTCCGGGGAGACATATTAGTTTTCTTGACTGTACGTGTTTGTATTGATTTTTGCGCTGATGATTTACAGTACCGGTACTAAGCTTTCTTACTCAATGATGTTAGGGACAAGATGAAATAGAGTATGTGCAACAGAATCTGGAACACGCACGAAGCATACTCGGGTCTAAAATAAGCGCTTTAGACATATGCCCAATATACGCAAACCTACCGCCTGATTTACAAGCAAAAATCTTTGAACCAACACCGCCTAATGCACGCAAAGTCGTTTTGGCAACGAATATTGCCGAGACGTCGGTTACGATAGACGGCATCGCGTATGTTATTGATTCCGGATATGTCAAGCAAAACTTTTATAGCCCAAAATCTCGTATGCAGTCATTAGAAGTTGTTCCGGTAAGTTCCATTGATGCATGAAATGTGTGAATGTGCAATGTTCTGGGTCTAATGAATTTTTAACCTTTGATCACAGTGCTCGAAAGCTTCAGCTGAACAACGGGCAGGTCGAGCAGGACGTATTGGCCCTGGCTGGTGTTTTAGATTGTACACTAAATATATATTTGAGAAAGAAATGCCATTTGATGCGATGCCTGAAATACAAAGAACCAACCTGGCAAATGTGATTTTGTTATTGCAGGTGAGACTTTTTAATTCGGAATTACTGGGTTGGCTAAAAAAGTAAAATTCAACCCTTTATATTTCTAATTCTATTTGTTTGCTTTTTTAGACGATCGGTGTTAGAGATATAATGCAATTTGAGTTTATGGATCCACCCCATACTGATTGTATTGTCCAAGCGATGAATGAGCTGCTCGAATTAGAAGCTCTTCGACAGGGGGCAGATGGGAAACCGCGATTAACTAAACTTGGGCAACGAATGGCTGAATTTCCGCTAGATCCAATGTTGTCAAAAGTCATATTAGAATCGGAGAAATATCACTGCTCGGAAGAAATTATATCTATAATCAGCATGCTTACTGTTCAGGGGTCTATATTCTATATGCCAAAAGAAAAGAAAGTTGCGGCTGATATGGCAAAACAAAACTTTTACCGACCAGGCGGCGACCACTTCACTCTGCTTAATGTTTGGAATCAAGTAAGAAATAATCAAACATGTTATTTGGTTTCTTTTTATTACCATTATACTTATTTTATATTCTATTTCGGTTTCTCGTGTTACAGTGGGTTGATTCCGATTA